AAAAAAAAAAAAAAAAAAAAAAAAATATTCACAAAACTTGAATCAGTATTTGTGCATGTAAGGTAGACAGCACAATTCTAAACTGGTAAATAAAAACCAAATTTGAATAGCAGACGGTATTGAATTCACATCTGAAATAACAATGCCCAACGCTTCTATTAACTAGAAGAACCCTAGAGATTATGAAATAACAAAAATGTTCCATTTTAAAACATTAGTAGATTTGCACTTATTGGATCAACTCCTCAGGGTGTACTGTCAGCCAAAAGATTGTAAAAAATTATATTTAACTGTTAGAGTAGTCAATAAAGTCAATTTGAGCAGTTCCTCTATTGCCTATCAATTTCCTGGGCATCTCTTGCAAAGTATGAGGAAAATATTTAAAGTACGCTCCTAGAAACAAAGGAGACAGTTTTCATAAACACACAGGAATTTTATACCTTCTATAATGTACATGGATGACCAAGAAACTACAAATTGTTGGCCCGTTTCTTTCTAAAAACCAAAATCTTATTTCATTGGTCTACCAGAAGAAATGACTAAATAAAAAAGTATCTGGACAACATCATGCAATTACCTAGAGTGATTTTTCCCCCACCCTGGTTTAATTATCTCATTATCTTCAAAGGAAACTACTGCTTAAATACAAAGGTTTTATGAGCCCAAACTTACCTGTTAAAAATATTTCTCGGAGGAAGCAGCAGAGGAATAACAGTATTACTCAAACACTCACAAAGGGGACAGAGGAATTCTCCGTTTTCTACATCATAGCTTGTATGTAAGCGTAATCTCTGTTGCCTTCGCTGTTCTTTAGCTTGAACGGAATCAAAATACCTTTACAATTAGAGAACATGAGGTATCAAAAACAACGGTAATTCTTTTCAATGACAGCCACAAGCTTCAACGTTTTAACTAATTTGTTTCCACAATACAAGAATTTACATCTTCAAATTTCTTGGTCCCTGTGCTGTCTTGTCACTTCCCCAGGGCTGGTGGCTACTTGTTAGAGGAAGTACATGATAATTCAATGAGCACAGTGCCAGAATAATCATACTGATTTGCTGGTTTTGCAGAAGCATAGAAAGTACCAAAGTAGAGCAAATTCAAGGTGATCCCATCTTAGTTCGGGAAGCCACGACAATCTCAGGAAGTAACAAGGCAAGTTACTAACACCTTTAGAATCAAGAGTGCATACCCTGGGAAGACACTACTCATCTAGGGTTTATGCCACCGTAAAAATCTTGTCCTTCATCCAGTTTGTTAGGTCACACAGATCCCCATATTAAAAGATATAGCTGATACACTATGAAGCTTCTAAGTCACTCCTTTAACACGTATGACAAAGCAACTCAGTTTTGTTATCAGGCAATGATACAGTTTTTCCTTTACCATCTTTAGTTCTTTCTCCCTTTCTCTAGAATGAAATTTCCTTTATTTAAAAAGTTAATTTCGAGCCTTCGGATAAGCTTCTCTTGACTAATATTAAGAATATAAATTACCTTTGCCAACAATGGGCATGCATAATGTGCCCACAGCTACCAGTGTGTGTTCCGCAAGACAGATCAGGGTGCATGAATAATGGATCATATTTTTCTGCATTACAAAACAAACAAACAAAAAACAAAACAAAACAAAACAAACCAAGCATTTAATCTTCCTATAACAAATGTACAACTTTAAATTGTGAAATCCTTGATATGGGGTCGCATACTTGAAATGGAATGCTAGTTTATTCCTTTGAGATACTAGTAATTTATGCAAGACCCTGGATTATTGAGAAAGCAAGACTCTAATTTTCATCATCCTGAGCAAATTAAACATCCCTGAATTGTTAACTGAAACTGGAGTTCTGTATTATGTACATCCAATCTTCTGAATATTCCACGCTTTCAGGGCACTGAGAGACTCCCATTCCCTCCAAAAGCCCTGAGCTGGTAAGAGGAATATTCTTCACTGGGCTGCCTTTAATACTTTAGGACACCTGGGTCACAGTAAAGGTGTTGTGGCAGCAATGAGGCGCCCCCTAGGGGAGAGTCTGCTTAAATACACTAATGCAAAGGAGAGTCACAAAGGAGAGCCAAAGGGGGAGCAAAATGTCCAGGACAGCAGCCCAGATGGGAAAGAGAGTAATTCAGACAGAGCCTTCCATTCTGGTGCTAATTTTTTATATTCAAAGGAGATGAAAACATGAATATAAACATAAGATGGGTGCCTGGCTGCTTTTGGAATTTTTGAAATTCTCTATGTAAATTAGTAATCTTAGAAATTCCACAACATTCTACAAACAATTACTCAAGTTTCAGTTTGGCTTAAATACCAGAACAGTGCAAATGTCACAGCGTAACTACAATCTTTTCTGATATAAATTGTGAAAGCATTTGGAAAACCTGCTTATAGACAGCCCAAGTTTTTTCTTCACAAAATAACTAATTAAATAAAATTGATAATTTTATCTTTGGCCTAGAATGAAATTTATAAACCGCTTAGTTGAAATGATCATTTTTTAAGATGAAGCAGATCAGTCTTTCTCAACTAGGTGCTTGAGATCCACACTGTGAAGACTTTCCTTATGGAGAAAAGGCTATCCTATAAGTGGGCTTTCAATTCTACAATGTAAAAGGCACTTGCTAAATAAGTGTTTTGCAAATTCCTAAGACACAGCTCCTACTCTCAAGAAGTTTACTGGAAGTCTTGAGGCATATGCACATAGAAACAAATCTAAGAGTATTGATATCAAAGTGTCTGTGATGGAAACAATAATGTGCAGCTTAGATGCCCCTGGAGGAATGAATGGCCTACTCCTTCCTCAGCAGTTGGAAGAGGGCTTAATTGTTATTCCTCTTTAAGGGACAACTGCTTCACTCAAAGTTACACCTCTTTCCAGAGATGGTCCACAACCAGTCACTGATCAGTGTTGGGGTTTAAAGACCAGTCCCCCTCACTTCAACTCAGGACACCTCCAAAGGGCCATCCAGCTCCAGAGTTCCCATAGGGTAGGAAGAGGCCTTTGGGGGACTGCATTGAAGCTCACCTTCTCCCTTTGCCCAAACCTGCTTCCCTCCTCTCCATCCAGAGATGTTGATTCCAAGGCTCTTCCAAGTAAATGTCTTGCACGGTAATCTCTACTTCAAGAATCTGTTTTCTGGGGAACGCTATCCGTGATATTATCACTACTTCACATCAGAATCTGGCTCAAGGACTGCTTCTCACATACGTAACTCACACAACCATTCCTAAGAGGTTCCATTTTGGATCGATCCATGAGACAAAATTATTATTATTTCAGGGTGCCAACTAATTACTAGGACTTTACAAGTGTGCTAAAGAATGGGAAAGACTGTGAAGTACCAAGTATATTAATGTTCTATCACAAAGAAAAGCTTTTTTTTGAATCTCTGTTATTTACCAGCTATGTAATTCAGGACTGATAGTTAACCTTCTGGAGTGTTTCCTCATCTGTCAACTGGAAAATTTCTGCCTACAGTAAAGCTGTCTAAGACACCACCAACACTACAGAGTTATTATTAGATTAATAAAATTTCTGTGCCACACCTGAGTGGCAGTCATTAAGGGGGAGGAGAGGATCTAGCTTTGAATGACTTACCTGGATCCTGAATGAATTTACTCCTGTTTTTTGATAATACAGTTGATCTTTGAACAAATGCTGCCAGGACCATTGCCTTGCTTTCCACCTTCACCTCTTGCTCCTCTTGACACAATATACAGGTAACAAACTGTCTCTGTTCAGGGACCTGAGTTTGTGCTGGGCCCAATGCTGTAAGTGTCGTATCTGAAACCATAGGGCTGCAATAAAAAGTGTACGAGTTTCATCAATGAGCCTAAGAAGTTTCCATTTAATCATAAAACAGTGGACTCCAGATAGGTACATATTCCACACACGTGGTTTTGACGATCTGAGCGGCAGAAGTCTTTCACATAGATCAAACCATCTCCTGTAATCCTCACAGCAATCCAATATGCAACACAGAAGCCAGACACTCACTTAACTGACCCTAGTGCACTCATTCTTTTATGACTGTCAAGGGTGTTCTGTGTGACCCATCATCCTGAGCAGAAACATGGTATCTATAGTCAGATATATATGTATAAACATATATCAATAAATTCAAATTCTAAGAGTAATTCCTATAATTGGAAGCTGTAAAATTTACCTACCAACCCTTCTAAAGTACTTCAGGGTTAAAAGTGTACTTCTT